ATTGATAACACAGTCGACAATGCCCAGATGGCTGCAATGCTGCAACAGTGCAACGAGCCCAGGCAAGACCACACCCATAAATATAACACTGCAAAGCTGCGGGGAGGAGGTTAACCAAGAGGCGATTGTTCAGCCAGCAGAAGAGTCTACCAAGCCGGTGGGCAAACGCAAGAGCTCTCGTATACCCAGAATGATAAGGCCACTCGCAAAGCAAACACCAGCTGAGGGCATGGCCCAACAGAAGGTCACGGCTGAAGTGAAGCAGTTGAGATCGAGTCGTCTCCCAGTTCGAAGCCAACTGCGAGCGGACCCAACACGCATCGCCGTTTGGGCGAATAGACAAACGCCTCTGACAGTCGATAAGGCCATAGGATTTGGGGCTAGACTGACCAAGGCCAAGGGCCACTCATTCAGTGGCTGTGGCACGAACGAGCATGATCAGCAAGGAGCGGATCACGGGGCTGGTATAGTGGCAGCAGCTGCTGCTGTGGCGCCTGCGGTGCGTAGCACACTGACTTCACGATGCCGCATGAAGCTGACTCATCGCGAAAGTCCGGCAACACCCAAAGTCCTGTCGCAGGCTCAGCTCACAGGGCAGCTGCAGCTGAGGCAGGCACTGAGAGAGCGATCCTTCTTTCAGCTGCGCAGACCCAAATGCTACACGGATCCGTTGCTGCTGCCAAGGCGTTCACTGTCCCCAGCTGTGAATCCTTTCGTTGAACTGCTGAGTCGCGAACAGCTGTTCTGTTTCGAGTGCAGCGATCAGAAGCAAGTCAAGGTGCCCTGCGAGTTGATCAATCGCTACTCCTCCTTAATGTGCAATCGTCAGAAGGAGCCGCTTTTCAACCACAAGGAGCCAATAGAGCTGAGTGCTGTTAGCGCCAGGACAATGCTGCGCCTCATGCTGTGGATGGAGCATCATGGCCAGGACGACATCAAGGCGCTGCAAAAGATGCAGCCCATATTTTCCAATTCGACCAGCCCGCACTGCACTTGGGATGAGGACTTTCTCGGCTCAAATGTGAACGAGATACTCCAGCTGCTCTGGGCTGCCAATTGCCTGGCCGTCTATCCCTTGGTCGAGCATGCAATGCAATATTTCATAGAGCTGATCGAGCAACGCAATACTGACGAGCGCAACGGCTCACTCAGCGAGCTGCAGTCGGAGCTGGACGAGCTCAATTGAAGGGGCGGAACAGCAACAGCTACAGCAACAGCAACAGCACCAAATATTTCAATGTTTATTAAACGGACAAAAGTGTGTCTATATAAATATATACATGTATATATTTCTATATATAAATATATGTAAACTTTGGCACACGCCTAGAGCACTATACATAGATATATATATATGTATACATATTGCTATTTATATGTGTATATATGTATATGTATATCAATTAGGGGCAATTCGAGTGTTGGGCTTCACTTTCGCCACCCCCAACAGAAAGATTTACAGACGTGAACACACCCTGGCGCTAGCACTAATTATTAACTATCCATGCTGTATATATAGAGCTGGTTCAGGTTGCCCTATCTGTATTGCGAGCAGTTCATCTCTTCCTCTTCTTCTTCGCCTTTCTTGTCCTGCAAAAGCAAGAAAAAATTGAATAAATAAATAAGAGTTTCGTTAGTTTTCCCTTCTTTTTCCGACTCTGTACATCAAGCTTGAGGCTAAAAAGATGTTGGCTGGCCGTGACTTTAGCACGGTCGCCGGTCTATGGCCAAAACACACACACACACACACACACATTCAACTTAAAGGCTTATGGCCGAAGCCCACGCAAAGTCACTCGAAAACTTTTGGAATTCGCGGCAATGACATCAAAAATTGATGCCACCTTCTACCAACTCCACCTCATACCCCCCGCGGCGCTCAGCCTTTGCTTTTTTTTGTTTGCAACTTGTCGGAAACTTTGCTTAAGAAATCAACCTGTGGCCTGGATACCCCAACAATCAACAGCCCAACGTCCCATAGCCCACAACCCATCATTGACCCTTAGCCATGATAAATTTGACACAGACAATTGGCTTTTAGTGGGCGTGGCTAAATGATCTTTACTCTATTTTTGCTTTGACGTACACTGAGTGGATGTCGAATAGAGCGACTCGTATTGGTTTCGTTCGAATGTTTTCCAGCTGGTAGAAGCAGCCGGGTGTCGTGCCCGTGCACATAAAGTATTTATATTCTTGATTCGGATTAAAAGACAGTTTGATAATGGCTTGTTCGTCTGTCCGCATGCCTATCCGTCCAACTGCCTTGCTGCTCGTACGCCAGCTCACCCGTTTGTCAATTTTGCTGTTTGTCCGGTTGTCCCATCTGTCCGTAAGTTGGGTATTCCGTCTGTTTAGTCTGTTTAAGATGATCTTCGGACCTTTGAACCTTCGGTTCGACTATCCATCTATACATATATCAACCCTCCATCCACCCATCCGTCCGTTTGTCCATCCGTCCGTATGTCTGTCCACCTACGGAAGGATGGGTAGGTCCTTCCATCCTTCGTCAGTCTCGTAACCAATCTAAGATTTTCCTTCTATTTCTGGCTCTTAACTCAATTTAATCGATATCTGCACCGATATCAATTGACATCGATAACAAACTTTATTTAAGTATATCCATGGACAACAGAGTCATGCATTATTGAGTACCTTTGACGTGTTCTCTGACTAACACGTTCAGGGTATCAACTAGTCGCACATTTCCAACTAAAACAAGTTTACTTGTTTTTTTTTTTCGCCTTCCGTGAGTAGGAGTTGATTTTTATTGTAGGTCTACCAAGACGAAGTATTTAATGTGCGCATAATTGGCTTGTTGCATATTTTATCGCTTAATTGCCAAGCATTGTATGTGTGTGTGTGTGTGTGTGCGTGTATATGCTTGTGCTTGTGGGGCCAATAATAAACTTGGCTACATTAGTTTGATAAGCTAAATACGTGCAAATACCTTTCAAGCGACCAACTGGCCCTTTGCTCACCTTTAGCCTAAGCGCATTATGTTGCGCACATCAAAATTGTTGCTTCAATTGAGTTAACTCCGACTTACGCGTGACCCTGATGCGTACTAATATCTGGGTTATATGGACAGCGCTATTAGTCTATCATGTTAATATATTTATTAAAAATTGTGCTTCTTGAAGAGAGCCATGTTGAGTTTACTAACTCATTTAACAAACATACAATTCATATAAATGCCAGTTATAGCATATCATACACTTTAATCTTATTGTAGCAGTCGAGTAATTCGATATTCTGTAATTAATTTGCTGTGGGTTCGATTCAGGCTTCATAAATTGTTTGCTAGGCATTATTTGTAATTTGCCTATTTTCCTTTGTTTCTCTTCGCATTCGTTTGATTGCTTGTTTATTCAATTGTATACTCTTCTTTTCTAATCTCTTTTGTTCCGGCTTTTATAGAATCTTCATATTACTTATTCTCTTGTCTGCTCTTCTAGTCCCTATGCTTTTGTGCTCTCCTCTTTGCGTCAGTCTTTTCTTGTCCTCCTCTCTCTTTCTTTCTCTCCTTCTTCTTCTTCCATTTTCAACTCTCTTCTCATTTATTAGCGTATATTCTCTTCTCCCATGTCTTTTATTTTTACGATCTGCTCGTTCTTTTTTCATCTCTTAGCTTCTCTGACAGACTTTTAAAATTCCCATGGGAAATTCTTTTAGAAAATCCACAAAGTCTACTTAGGTCTTAGAGTCCCTGGGGTACAATCGCTGTACGCATGCAGTAAACAGTTAATCGCAGTCACCGTCACAGTTACAGTCACAGTTAAAGTAACAGTTACAGTCACGCCTCTACCGCAGCCATTCCGATGAAGTTCAAGGACCTGGTCGACTTGCTCGTAACTAAAAATACGTCAAGAAAAAAAGAAATGAGAAATGAAAAAAATATATATGTATATGAATGTACGTCATAATGAGTATGCCATACCTACATACACACCCAGTTCCAGAGACGTCTGGGTATGTATGTGAGCGTGTGTGTGTGGGGGTAGTGTGCATGTGTGTGCGCGTGTGTGAGTGGAACCATTTTTATTTTTATAACACGCACAAGCCATATAGACCGGCTAGCCAGGCAGCTATAGCTCCGGCTCCGGCTCCGACTCCGGCTCTGGCTCTGGCTCTAGGTTGAGAATTAGTGTTGTGGCTTTCGCTGTTCGCTGGCGAAATTGGGGACGCACACCCAGTGCCTGGCAGTCAGTCAAGTTGCGTCTTGACAGTCGCGTGAGCGACTTAAATGTTGTTATAAATTTATTTGGCCCACTGAGCAACGGCGTCAAGTCGACTTCGATTGGCCCAACAGTCGCGGGCAACAGGTAAAAGGCAGCTCGATGGTGTCTGGTACTTTTCGTAGCGTTTCATTTATTTGATTTCGTTTTATTGCCGGCCATTGGCGCTGCTAATGAAAATCTACACGAAACTTGTAGACAACAAACCATTTCGTCTCTTCGCCAATTTCGAACTTAACATTTTCCGTCATTTACTGCAATTTAGCAGTTGCTGTGTATTTCATGTCGACTCTCCAAAACGAAGCCAACCAACCACCAACCACGAACCACCAACCCAGGGCTCCATGTCCACACGGCCCCCCATCATTCTCTGCCATTAGCTTACACAATAAAACCATGGCTACAATTCCCACCCACTCACATTGGCCACTCGGCCACAAATTGGGCAACGAAAAAGCGAAAAAGACTTCAAGCACAACTTCTGCAATCGTCCATTGAACTGAAACTGACCTCTCCATGGGTTCACGTTTCTTAATTCTTTTGGTATACCTCAATGTATATATGAAAGCGCTCTCTCTCTCTCCCACTCCCTGTGTATTTGTCTTACTCTCCTCTCTCTCTCTCCCTCTCTTATTCATTTATTGTTTTGTCAGTTTCCGTCATCTAATACATTTCACTCCACATTGTTTTGGCTTTGATTTTATGCCAATGCTATCTCTCGCTCTGAAATTAGAAGCTAAAGTCAATTTGTTGTATCCATTTCAGAAAAGAACGAGACAGAGCCAGCTTGAGAGAGCGAGACAGATACAAAGTAGTAAGTGTTTTAAAGCCCAAGTTAAAATATTGATCATTATTGATACCAAGCAAATGGGAAAAGTTATCGAGGTCGAAATTGGTTCTGCATACAATATACAATAATATATGATTCGGACGGTCGGACGGAGGGACAGACGAACGGAAAGATGGAGAGGACGTACAGAGGGGCTAATGGGCGTACGGACGGACAGACGGGCGAAGGGATGAACAGACGGACGGAATGACAGACGGACAGACAGACCAATGGAAGGATGGACAGACGGGCGAATGGATGAACAGGCGGACGGATAGACACACGGACGAGCAGACGGACGGAGAGACACACGCACGGAGAGACACACGGACGGACGGAGTGACAGACGAAGAGACAGACCAATGGAAGGATGAACAGACGGGCGAATGGATGCACAGACGGACGGAGAGGCACACGGACGGGTAGACGGACGGAGAGACACACGGACGGGTAGACGGACGGACAAAGAGACAGGACGGACAGATAGCCAGACGGACCGAGAGGCGTACGGACATACACACATGGAGATAGACGGATGGACAGAAAGACAGACAGATGGACGGACAGATGCATGCATAGGAAGTCGCACAGACGGAAGGGCGATCTAATGGCGATTCTAAGTCGGATGCACAGACATAACTTAATCGACTTACCTTGTAGTCCTATTCAAGCACACGCATCTACATATATATGTCAAGACTTGCTCTCTTTTCTGCAGTTTACCTAGTTTTCTTAAAAGTTATTTATGTTGATGCAAATTGTTAATTGAGTTCAATGGAGAGCGGAGCAGATAAATAGAGAGTAGATATTGGAATTGATTGAAAAAGTAAATTAAAAGAAAGCACATCAAAGCGTGCATAGGTAATAGCATTAGGCGAAAGACGTAGCTTATGCCATTGAGGCTATGTGGCTATGCAACGATAAATTGCTAAGAATGTTTGAAGTGCCAGCATATTTATGGCATATGCATTACAATGTGAGCTACTTAAGAGCGTTTGCCGTTGCCGTTGCCGTTGCCTTTGCTGTTGCCTTTGCTGTTGCCTTTGCTGTTGCCTTTCAGTTCATTTCACTGAAAGACAGACATTGTCTATGCTATGAGTGGGAGGTAAATTGTATTCACCCACATGCACACACCACAGCTTTTTATGCTCAATTACTATTGTTCAAGCTTTCAATTTATGATGCACACACACACACACACACACACATAGAGAGGCAGAGACAGGCATATGTTGTGCTGTGCCTGGGCAAGAGAGCATCTTGCAGCGTCTCTGGCTGTACAACATAATTAAGTTTAATTGACAACCGCTGACTGTTTGATTGGCTGTACGAGGGGCCGCATATGGTGGCACCAGCTGTCTGTCTTTGTCTCTTTCGCTCTTTGATTTACTCTGCCCTTTCCTTCCTCTCTCTCCCTCTCTCCCTTCCTTACTCTTGTGGCTTTTGTTTATTCATGAACAGCAATTGTTGCTTCAGCTGTTGTTCTGTGGTCAACGACGGCGTATACTTAATGCAGCACCCGCTCAAATGTATGCAACATATGTATGTACATATGTATACCTGTGTACATATGTAGCTACATATAAATTTGTGAAAACTCACATTCGGCAAATAATTAATGCCGCAAATCCAATGCGAATAAGCCGCAACTGCATTTTCTATACGTCGCTCTGCATAAATGAATCAATTTATTCAATTATGCCCTGTAGCTAACGGAAACGGAGTTGTATTGAAGAGACTTGGCAATTGTGTTGCAAGCCTTTGAATAGAGGTTGCGCATGAGAAGAGAAGTCAAGTCCTAGCTATATGATAGGACCTTAACTTAATTCGAAGCTGAGCAAATCAAGCTTAAGCACGAGAGTTTTTAGTCGTATGAAAGATATGAGCTGACTTCAAGTCTATTCACTTAAATTTACAGGGTAACTGATAAGTTCAAGCGCTCAAATAAACATTTTTGAGCCATAAAACGGTTGGCAAATACAATTTCATGCAATATAATTAGTAATAAAGCTCAGAGGGCAAACAACACGTGTGCATATACTTTTACAGGGTATAAGTGGCGCACTTCTTGTTTCTAGTTTAAATAGGTTTACAGAGTAACTGCTAGTCGAGCATACATTTTTTATGTATATAATTCAGCTGTGCTTCAGTTGCACAATTACTGAGTTGTTTTTATTTACAGGGTATGTGCTAGTCGTTCATGCAGTAGTTCTTTTAATATTAATATATGT